AAAAAAAAAAAAAAAAAAAAAAAAAACAGAAAAAAATCTTTCCTGTATTATGTTGTAGCATTTCAGAGCAGTTTATAATTATTTCTTGGAAATGAAGTTCAAAGTTTGCCCTTTGGAAAAGAAATTTAATAAACAATTTTGTTGAGCTACATCAACATGAGAGATATGAAATATTGCATCAAGAAGTTGAAATGAAATGTTCCTATTGTTCCCACATTTTTTTCTACAAACTATGCTTCTCAGTTGCAGTTTGAGGAGAAAATACAATGGCATTCAGAAAGGATCTGAAGATGCAACAATTGAACTTTTCTAACATAAAAGCTTATGGGTGCCTAGGGGAAATTAAGCTAGTTATTATTGTGTAGTGAGATAAAAGTCTAGATAATGTATGAGAGAGAAATGCACTGGAAGCTTGATTCCTGACCCAGTGTTAAAGCAGCCAAGAAGAAAACATTTCCGAGATGGGAATTATATTATTAGAATTGTATATTTTTATTTATAAATAAATTGCATGCTATTTTATATTGGCAGTCTGAAATGGCTATTATTTGCCTTCACTGTGGAGGAATTTACTTCCAGACACTATTAGAATCTAAAGATAACACTGAACTTATCTACCATCTCCTCAGGGTACCTGCTAACAAAATACCTGGTTTTTGCTTTATGATTCCTTCTCTTCTTAGTAAAACAAAACTAACAGTAATAATAAAAAGCTATATTTAACCTCTAGCAGTGTAACTTTCATCTTAGAAGAGCGAGTTGCGACTTTACTCATCTAACATCCTGAGAGATAAGAAAAAACAATGGTCTGTGAGGCAGGACAATTCCACATACGTTGAGGTATCACTTCTTGCAGACTCACACTGTGGAACAGCCAAAAATGGAAAAAACCCTATTAAAGAATCTTTCATCTTTTAAAAAGTGCTGTAGGCGGCATGTAAGCTTAATGAAAGTCCCAGCTCCCCATAAACGCTGTGTATTCTTTAAGGCACAATTCAGTTCCACAGTTACAAGGATGCTTTATCTATGCAGGATACAGAATTCTGTGTGTTGTATCAGGGATGCAGCATCTGAACAAGAATCCATGTATTCAGACCACAAAACAAGAGTTGCAGAAAAGATCAGCACTGAAGAGAGGACAGGTAATAGCATCACTGAAAAGAGTCTACACCATGGTGGCTTCTTAAAGGAAAGTGCCAGGATGAAAACAGTCACCTTTCCCAAGGTGATAAAGCATTAGTTCCTTTCCCTGCAGAGGAAGCAAACTGTAGCTAAGCAGATGAATGAACTCAAAATGGTAAAAAATTCATCAATAAAAGTTCATAACTCCCATGTGGATTTTCAAACCATCTTTGTCTTTTTTTTTTCCCCCTAAATCTTCATAATAAAATTCAAGAGTTCGTAAATTTTGATTCAGGTTTTAATGCTTCATATTGAGAAACAGGCCCACAAAGTCATACTGAATGTATTTTAAAGGACTAACACAATACTGCTAAGCTTTTAAACATATCACGATCCTCAAAAGCTAAAACTTCACTCTTATTTTTAATCTGATTTCTTAAGTCAATAAATCTAATATGAATGTGTCAGGCTTCTGCATGCTTCTTTCTGCCTGTCAGTTCTTCATGACAAATACAGCTCCAAATAAGCAATACGTTTTTATAAAACCCGAATATGACTGAAGTTTTCAAGAGAATCAAACGACAACTAGTGTTGTGAAAAACAAGTAGCTTGAAAGACTAGTGACAAGCCAAGAACCTTCTGCAGAAAAAATCCTGATGTGCAAGTACAATACTGTCAGAAAAGATAACACACACAGAAGAAACTGTATAGATTCACCAGCATGAGTAAAAGTTGTAAGCAGACCAATTTAATGAGAGACATTAACACAATGGAATTTTGGAGAATTTCTAGTGCCAGTATAAGATTCTCTCTTTTATTCTAAACTTTTTTTTTATTTATACTGAAGAACAAGCATACCTTTGCAGATGTATTATTCGAGTTCCTTCCAATTTATTTTACTTCAGTAGATGATACAGCTATTTTAGAATTTCTACAAAATTTGGAGGAAAACAATAAATTTCAAAGACATTAAAAATCCAGATTAGTACTTCATAAATTTTTTTAGAATCTACATACACACTAGATTCTATGAAATAAGTTTTTTTTTTGTTTGATTTTTTTTTTTTCCAGATAATTTTCCTTTTTGCAAAGGAAAACCATCCTCAACGTTTTTAAGTTGGCTATATCTCTCACAAAGATTTGAAAAAAGAACACACAATAAGGCAAAATATCAACATGGCTGCTCTCTTTGTAAAATATGAAAATATCAATGAAGTTCTTATTTTAAACCAAGTATCCCCTTCCAGCATCAACATGCTTGTAACTTGGTGACGAAACAAAATTCTCAGTGAATATAGAGTAAAACATTGTCCTTTACAAGGCAAATACTTTTGACAAATTTAATCATCTGTTTTCCTTGCAGATATATGACTACCTAATCTAGAAATAATACCTGCATTCAGAGCTTCCTTCCCATCACCAACACGCACTACAACTACATCAGTTTCAAACAAACTTCAGGCCTTGGGAAATTAATACATCAGCGTTCCAACTTCATAAATCCACACATACGCAACTTTTACTTATTTATCCATCAGATTTAACTGTTTCAGGAATACAACGATGTGCAGTACACTGCACCTTCTCTACCAAGAAAATTGGAAAGTGGGAAAAAAAAAATAAGGTCAACCTCAATTTTTTGGGTTGAAAAGTACGTGCTGTAAAATTGGCAAGGTAGATGTGGGGACATACAGGAAGTAGGCCAGCACAAAGAAGTACATGTACCTCCCACAGATGGTAAAAGGGTCAGGCAGCATACAAAGTGGGTGTAAAAAAGATCAAACAGTAAAAAGCAATTAACCCTCTGGCACTGGGAATTGGGATTTCCTGACACCAATTGCTAATGTTGGCCTTAAGGGGTTATAAGATCAAAAAATAATAAGCCAAGCCTTGAAATAAAAGCTATCATTTTAGACAGTGAGGGAAGGCATTTCAAGTACATTCTGGGCTGCCAGATTAGTACGGTACGAGGGGAAGGGCACAGAGGAGAAATACTCTAAAAGATAAACGGTAAAAACAGTTTTCCAGATTTGGACTCACATAGATTTCTTTCAACTACTCTTTTTCTTTGTGAATTGAACACACTGTTTTGCCCTATATATCTCTGATCTATGACTTCTTCTCTGATAAGGATTACTTTTTACTTTCTGTCCAAGTTCCCCCTCATTTTGTAACTAACTTCTGAACATCATCTATATTAGCTGTAGGTGGTTTACTTAATTGCCTTGAGCATTATGATTCTTTTACTTTCCTTCCACACAAAAGGAAAAAGAAAGGAAAAGAAAAAGGCAAGTGACAAAACAGTTCCTTTACAAGAACAAAAACTTCAGATAACCTATATCAAAACTGACATGTTTCAAATAGTCATAAAAGCTTATGGCAGAGGGGTTGCTTCTTTGGTTTTAAAAAGGCCATTATTTCCAGGACGTCTTAGGACTCACCCTTATTCATTGATAGTCTACTGTTTATATATTTCCAATTTATAGTGCTAAATTACTGCAGAAATATTAGACACTTTGTATAAAATAATTACAGAGTTTTCATACTGGTTGATCATTTACAGAAATTCTTTTAAAACACAGGGTAAATCTGACAGTTTTTTCTTTAGTGCAAACTAACTATCTAGAAGCTGTCATATTCAATCCAGGCCAGTCTATGATTCTATGATATAAACGTTACCTGATGGAAATAGTCTCAGCTCTTTTAAAAAATTAATCAAACTTCATTGATTTCCTCCAGTTGAAAATTCTGCATAGGTGGATTCAAATACCTGTGAGATGTATCAGTATAATTTAACACACTGGATAAATACAAGGAAGGAAAAAACCTTTGGTATAAACCTCTGTAATTTGATTGAAATTTGGTTTTAGACTGCTTTAGACAATAACAAAACAGAATCAGATTAAATTTGAGATATAATCCATTTAAAATCATCATGACAAATTTATTATATCTTTTCAGACATCTCCATATTTGTGATTAGATGATAAAAGGAGCTTTGGTCCAGAACCATGAACTGTGGCAGTGATCTCATATCTGAAACTCTGAGAAGGGTTAATAATATAGCATCACCCAAACAGGATTGCCCCCTGCTGTTTCTCAGTGTCTTAAAAACTTAGAAAAATATGTATTAGTATTTCTAATATTTCCTTAATTCTCCTAACTTCATGTATTTCATGTATATATTATTCATGCAAGATATATTTTACTCCATTTTAGCTGTCTTGAAGGAATACTTTGTATGAGGGAAATTCTCAGCTCACATTTATAAGTTGATTATCTTATTAAAAGAAAGCGCTCTTATGAGGTTTTTCTTTAAACATAGCAGTATTGTATTTATATCACATAATTCCCAGAGAATTTTGAATTCTAGTCTCCTGAATGTGGCCTTTTCCAATTTCATATTATATGCATATGTAATAAAACAAAGAAATTGCTTATCACTGGTACTAAACAAAAGGCCAAACAAAAGCACTACATCTAGAACTCCATGGAATAAGTATTAATTAGATTCTTTTCCCAATTAATTTAATAGTCATCTAAAAACCACAGAGTTCATGTAACAATAAATCATATTTAACTCATCATGACTTGATAAAATTGATACTCCATCACTGCAAAAAGGTAGTTATGTAACTTTTTTTTTTTTTATCCTTATTTAAAACTATTATGCAATCTTCCATGCCCTTAAAGATGACCTGTGGAAAGAACTCAGTGGCAAAATAAATATTTAACACTTGAGATATCAGAGAAAATTAGCTGAATCTGTCTGTGGAAATCTCATACCTTCAGTTTAAGGACATGCAGAAAACTATTAGGAAAAACACATTTTGAATTTAAAAAATATTTGTTTCTCAAACTAATGCCTTCCACTGATTTTCATGGAAACTACAAGAGATACAAAGCATACAATAACATTATTTGATAGAGTAAATTCCCAGCTACAAAGCACTATTTTTAACATGGTCACCACCATTAAATGTGTATTTTCTCCAACAATGGACAAGGGCCTGCATACCAGGCTTGTAACTATCTGCTCCAGTAGAGGTGACCCACTGCTGCTGAAATGCACCACCACAGCCACACTGTGCTCCCATCCACTGTTTGGCCTCCATATACATTCAGCAAATGTCAATGAGTGCAATTTTTCCACATGGAGGAACTCAGTGGTGCACCTTTGCTTCATATGCACTTCAATGTCAGACACTATTTTGTCACACTGCCCCTCTGCTGCCATCTGTCACATGGCAATAAAATACAACAGAGTGTTGGTGGGAGCCTTGACCACAACATCACCAATACTTGCCTCTGGTATTGTGGGCTGACATATTAAAAAGGGGACATTTCTTTAGGAGAAGCTCTCATACATTTGCAGATGAAACATCAAAATCAAACAGTGATGCTAGTGAGGCATCAGTACTTAGAATTAATCTGCATATTAAAAACAAGCAGAAATATCCCTGATTTTATCTTGACATTGATTTATCAAAATAGCAGATATTATTTCATACCAAAACGTAAAAGACATAGTACAGTAATGGGATTTTGAAAGCAATAGACAAAGAATTTATTAACTAGAGAAGTTCTACTACAAGATCAGTGCACTATTCCCAGTTATTCCTGCTCAAAACCTGTTTTATGACCTGATTGTTCCTCTAATTAAGAACCTCTGTAATTTCAAGCTAACTTTATGCCGCGGGAATTCAGAGCCGTTTCTTCTTGTGCCAACATTATTCTTTAGCTTAAACAGTTCTTTTTCCTTCTTGGTATTTCCCTACATAATATATGTACATAACATAATCACATAACTTCTTAACCTTTGCCTTCTAGGACTAAAGAAGCCAAGCTCACTTACTCCCTGTCCTTTCCCCCAGATAGTCCACAGCTGCTCTGCTTTCAATTAATCTTTCTCAACATGATTGACTAGAATAGCTCACAGTAGTCCAAATTACATCTCATAAAGGCCTTTAACAAGGAGACTGATACTTCTGGTAAAGATCCGAAGTGCTTCTCTAACACGCTGATTCTCAAATGGATCCCTGAGGAGCTACACTTGCCATTGGTTTCCTCTTCCAAAGCTAGTACTGAGCTAACATTTTACATTACTTTTAAGCACTTTGGGAAATTATTATTTCAATGCAATCTTTTTTCTTTTCTTTTCTTTTTTTTCCTTTACTGTACTCCAGAAAGTTAAGATCGTCTATTTCCCAATTCTCCTATAATGACCATTAAAATAAATTATTTCCTCCCAGGTAAGAAAAAAAAACAACCTTAAAATGTGTTTGATGGAATATTAATAAATAAATAAATAAATAAATAAATAAATATTATCTGCATCTTATCACTCTTCACAACATTTCATCTCTAAACCACATTTGAGAAGTTCGGATTTAGGAAAACCTGACCACCTAGGGCCTGAGACTATAGTGTGGTTCTTTTCAAGATCAATTAGAATTACACTATTAGCATACCAGCTCCACCTCAAGGTTGCCTCCAATTAACATTTCTGTTCTGAATGTAACAGCTTCATGGGAAGCAGAGGAAGAAAAAATGAGATCACGCAGTAAAGGATCAAATACAGCTTAAAATATGTGAAGACACAGCTTTTAGATATACGTAAGAATTGTTTGAAGATTCTCCACTACTTTGTGAAAGCCTGCATGAAATTAAGAATAATTTCATTAATATGTTTTTCAATTGTGTTATGTAAAAATACTCATTTTTACATAGCACAAAAGTTTCTCATTGAACATTTTAGCGTCTATTTCATAGCAGTTAATTACATTAAGAAAAAACATCCCAATCCCATTAATTAGAAAGCAGATATTTGTTCTTAAGCTGTCACCTTAGGGGTACACAATAACCAGAGTTACACTGATTTAAACTCTATGGACTAAGTGCTTCTGAACGCACATACACACTGAATATCAAACTACATAAACCATGCTTGATGTGACACATCTTCAATGGAAGTCTGAAAAGTCACAGTCTGAAAATCAGCTAAATACCTGTTTAAAACTTCATGAATGCCTTGGAACTAAGGTATCCATCAGCTGAGATACTTTCAATCACACTGAACAGTAGCTCATATAAATGCAAAGCAGGCATGAAAAACAGGCAGCATGGTTTCTCCAATCTAACACTATTAACCATCTGACCCAGTATTGGCAGGACGCATCTCAGGAATGTCACTGCTCTGCCTAACAGAGGTCAGGAAATAGGGAATGTATTGCAAAAGATAAAGGAACAAAATAGAAAGTATATAATGAACCCCTCCATGCTGCTAGGAAAAGAAATGTATTGCACTAACCCTTTTAAAGCATTCTTTTCCCTGTTTTAAAAAGTCTGCTTTTTACGTAAAGGAGCCAGGAGGACAAAGTCTTCACACACACACTCATAACCTGTAAAAATGTCTTTGAAAAGCTTTACATTTTCTACAAAGAGGCTTCCTGCAGCCCTTTGGGAAGGCTAACAGAGCTTTTAAGTGCCATATTTTTATTCTTTTCAACTTGTAGATAAAATCCAGGTCTGATGGAAAACATCCCCCACATGCACTAGTTTTGCAAGGGGTCTTAAGATAAATTTATCTTGCTGATAATACTGTAAGTAAGCAATGGACAATATCTCATCCCAGTAAAACAGTCTGCAAAATGAGGATCAGACAAAAATATATTTTAGGGAGGTTCAGCAAATTAATTCCATAACACAGTAGTAGTGCAAGCTTCTTGCATCCAAAAATATCTTATGCAGATGCTTATAAGGTCAACACGATTAAACACTAGATAACGTCCAATAATTTATCTAATATCAAATACGGATATTTTCTTCAGTTAGTACCTATTGCACCAAGCTTTCATCTCTGACCTGAATGAAGTCAATCAGTTCCCTTTTAAGTAGAGAACTTTTCATTGTGTCCTGCATTTCTTTGTTTACTTCCACTAAGTTGGTGGAAACATCTTGAATGTGAAGATATAGTAATAAACACCTTGCATGTAAAGAGATGCAACTATCACAAGAGCCCTTACAGCTAAGCACATGCACATTGTATTCTAAGTGCCAGCTTGCACTTGCAAAACCCTGATTACAATCTTCAACATCACAGTACTACGTGTATGGAAAAGGTTTGTTCATTTGATTTCCTCCTGGTGAGGCAGTGCGTATTTTTCAGGCTAAACTCAAGTGAACAGCTAACCACTCAGAAAGGCATAGAAACTGTTAAACCCTGTATCTAAAAGTCACATGAAACTCCATTCGGTGGTCCATTGTGAATCTGAACTGTAAGTAAGGCATAGGTTCAACAAGATATTTCAAGTCTGTGAAACTTACAGTGGCTTAAGTTTAAACCACAATTTTCTATTCCTCTGACTTCAACTGGGAGTTTAGTTGTATTTACATTTGAGCTTACAGTGAGAGAATTATTATTCTTAAACTTTGCCATCCCATCACAGGATGAAACTCATGAACAGTAAAGTCTACAAAATTCTTGTTATGCATTTCATACAGGCACATCTTCAAGTCTTTTGATTTTGATAATATACATTTGGTGTAAACAGTAATTTACATTCAGTTCCACGGTGCCTCCCATCACATCTCTGCCCTGCCTGTCTCTGAAAAATTATCATGTTCTTTACAGGACCGTGAAACAGCTTGGTGAGAGTATCATTTGGTTACACATCCACATTTATAACTAAAGAAAGTAAACAAAAAAACCACACCTGTTGCATAAAGTGTTTGGGGAAAAACAGTAGCCTGATCTCTGCCACTGGTATGTGTTTCATTTCACAGAATTGTGAAGCAGATCAAGAAATCACAGAAGGTGACAGATAAAGAGGTTTTAAATTGGTTTTAAATTCAATAATATTTTCCTAGGAAGCCAAAAATAGACTTCATCTGCTAGTCTTAGTGGCAATTATCCAAACTTGAAATCAAAGAAGATTAACATATGAAAATATATCGTATCAAGGGATAGCTATGCTTTTTCAAACATGATTATTCCTAGCTGGTATTCCTACCTTATGTAAAGCACTATCTGATTAATCTTTAAGACCCAATTCTACATTGAGCTCGAAGGGAGACATTTCTGAAGACATTTTCTTAACTTATTAAGGTAAATATGATGTATGGCATTAATCTAACAAGACATGGAATTATTTTAGGCATGCAGGAAATGAAAGTCAATTTCCAAATGTATCAAAAATGTATGCAGGTTAAAACTTGCAGAAAACTCACCTTGGGAAAGGCTCAGAATCTCTCTTCTGGCTGACCTGGGAATATAAATGAGGTTTTGGTCAGTTACTATAATCCTTTTATGAAAAACTCTACAGATACAAGCAGAATACTTCAGACAGAATATTAAATCAAAACACTCTAAACTTCCTTAAAGCACAGGTATAACTTTTATAGAATCATTTCATTGTGTGAAATCTCAATATTCTTGCTGTTGTTTGGAGTAACTTGGAATTAATTCTGCACACTATAGTGGAAAGAATCTACAAGGTATTTATTTTGATTTCTAATAAGCATACACCACAAAGATTCTGAAATTGATGGGAATTATCATTCACATACCGTTTTTGTTTGTTTGCTTTTATTACTTTGTCTCTAAGACTGTGCTGTTAGGAGAATTCTAATATCCTGAAAATAGCAACTCATCATCTGTGTAGTAGTAAATTTATTCTGCCTTCATGATGGATCATACCATGGCAGCTGTTACTACATGAGAATTTCTCTACTATTCAGCAAGACATCTTGATCCCATAAGGCAACGAGGAATGACCTGGTTTGATAGGAAACTCGTGTGAAAAAAACTTCAGTCCTTGCTAAATGAAGACTCTTACAAAGATTCAGCAAACACACACACACACACACACACACACACACACACACAATACCCGATCATTTTTAAATCTCATCTTTCCAGAATGTTCTCACGTATGTGATACCACAAGAGAACAAAAATGATTTACAATCTCAAAAAAAAAAAAAAAAAGAGTGATCAGAGCTATCCTGTACACTAACAAAGTGTTTTGTATTTATATAGGTACATATTCTTTTGTACTTGCATAGGTACACACTCAACAGCTCATCAAGACACAGTATCATAGTGAGTACTTTTATTTCTTTGATTGGTTTGTATATTTCATAAGGATTACTGAGCACATCAATAGATACTGAAACTAAGCTCTCAGTATCCAGCAAGGTTAAGTGCCTTTCCCATCCATTTCTCTAGGAGCACATATCCACACGTACAGAATTCAATGTAAAATGGTGACCTTAAGTGTGTTGAATTAAGAGCCTAGGTTTTCAATTCCCCATCTTGTACTTAGATACACTGTTTTCTTTACTGGGAAGCCACTTTAAAATTTTAATATAGAATCTCTGAATAGTGCTTGCTTTCACGCAGCTCTTCAAACCTTCTATCTCAATGGCAAACAAATCACTCTCAGAAAGTATTTGCAGTAAGTGATATCAAGCAGGCCAAAATACCCATTGACCCTGAAAGCAAGACAACATTTTCATTTCAAGAAAACAAGGAAACAGTCACTTCAAACGATGTATTTTGTATTCTCTAATATCTTTGGCTGAATCCTATTCACTCTATCTGTAAAACCCTCAAACCATTATAATTTACCAAATGAAAAAGCTTCTTTGTCAGATGAATAATCTGCAGTACCAGAGAAGTACTGTACATACAGCTTCTATACAACAGTCAAGAGATTTCTGAAATGCTCTCAGGAATGTAACTTTCAGAAAAATTCTTAAGGCAATGATGTTGCTTATATTCTTTATGCAGATGACAACATGAAAATACACATTGGAAACGAATAACAGAAATTGAAAAACAATGCATTTAAAAAAGAATCTTTAGAATTCTGTACTATAAGAGATTATTCATTTTAGTAGATCTTACAGACTTAAGTGGGACAGAAGATCAAGGCCTGGTCGATAATTTATATTCTACATTACAAAGTGCAATCAAAGAATTTAATGGTTCAAAGCAAGCAAACTAAAAAGTCCGCTGTCCCTTACCACTATTCAGAAGAACTGAAGAGCCATTTGACTTAAATGAAGGAGTGATCTTTCCTGCATACAACTATGCCATCAATTTTTTTTTTTTTTAATCACCCCGTCCCAAAATCCTTTCTTCCTTCCTGCCATTTAGAACTAGCCTATTTCTAGAAAGCAGAGATATTAACACCGTGATTTCCTCCAACCGAAGTTTCATCTTTTCTCATAAAATTTGCTCTAACCTTAAATGGTCTTGCAACTAAACTTTGGCTGTCTCCATCCACCCACTTATTCCAATTGAAATGAGTAACAGATAAACAGACTGTATAGAATATCCCCGCAAAGATCTCAAAGTCTTTGCACAAATAAATACATCCTCCACTTTACCGAAGATGCTCATATGACACTTGAATATTCGCTTTTTCTTTTTCCCTCCTGAGCAATCAATCACAACCACTTTTCCTTCTCTGTGAATGGGGTTTTGTGGAAACACCATGGCAGAGAAGGTAAACCACTCAGGGAATACACAAGTCATCTCTCTCACAGCAAGGCATGCAGATGAAACTGAAGATGTATCAGTACGTCAACTGCAAGTCACAAATTAAAGTGTATTACTGACAAGTGATATAACTCCAAAAAATAATGAGCAAGATCTAAATGTTAAGCAGTATGTGAAAACCTTCCAGAATATAGCAAGATCATGTCCTAAGCATCTTGAACCAGATGAGCATTCTCTGCTCTCTGATTAAATTCTTCTGACTCCTCACAGTTGCTAGTCATTACAATTATGATTTGGAATCTCTCTTTACTTGGAAAAACAAACAAAAAATCCACAACACTGCACTTTCCAACTAAAACAGTTTACAGTTCATAAAAGAGATATCATACCTAAACTAACAACGGACTAAAGATTCAACTTGATCTAAAGAAATTGGTTACCTCATGAATTTTCCTAAAGCACAAAACTGAGAACACTCTGTGTAGCCTTCAGAGAAAGGAAAATACTACCACGTTCCTGAAAAATCACTGACAACCAAGCTGGCCTGGTAGTAACTCTTGTGAAAGGCACCATCTATGATTGAGAGCAGCTTAACCACTGATATTAAACAGAACTTATGCTTTTCGCAACAGAAAAGACAAATAGTTGCTTGTCTTTTCAGAGAGATCTATACTGTACGTGGAGTTCTACTCAAATCTTTAAAAAATATTTCTGTTTTACTTGATGTTGTCATATATGATAACACGTTCTTGAGAAAAATTAACATACCAATGATAAGAATTATTCTAGTTTATTATTCTTGGTTTTATATAGTCCAGTTTGAGATCTTTAATTCTAACAATTATAGTAGTATGACTTTCGTTGAGTCCTTGCTCTTTACAGGGAATCAGGGCAATATGATAACCACTGCAGAGTCTAGCTTGCAGGGCGATTGTTACAAAGAATTCTTGATCTGGATATAAACACAGGTAATAAGAAATGCTTGGACAAAAGCAAGGCTTTGAATTCTTCACATTAGCAAACAGTGCAAACTGAAACAAGAAAACAATATTCAGATTCAGTAAATACTGTCATTTCCTTTCTTATGTTTTTTTTTTATCTTGGTTTGCAACAAGAATCTTCTGAAATCTTTAGCCATAATACAGGTTTAAAGTACCTTCCAATGGGGCATAAATGTTAATCCACACCTTTGTTTTTCAAGAATGAAACCATAACACATTTCCTTTAGTCGTATATGAACTTAGGAAAACCCTGTATATTTGATTACAGAATATGACACCTATTTTCACTGCAGGAAATCATACAAAGGTGCTTTTTATTATTATTGCTCAGAAAAACAAAGTACAGTCTAAAACAATTGTGAAATAAAACAGAATTAAATGTATGAAAGCTTTATTGGCACTCACTGTATATCCATCTCAAACTCGCATCTGCATGAACTTGATATTACATTACATTTTGTATCCTCTCTCCACTTGGGTTTACCCCAAATATTTATTGTGCGTAGTCAGGGCATATCAGCATATAGCTGAGGTACATTTAGAATTGCTGTCATATTAATATCTGCACAAACAGCGCTGTTACTACCTCGGATATGTTTAGTAAGAAGCACTAAGTGAGTAGGAAGGAGATATTGCTATTCATGTATAAGAAATGATTGCTCCAATGTACTGCTCAACTCTCAACTGGAAAAAAGTGACAGTACAAAGTGCTTCAGGAAAAAAAAAATATATGATACCTGTGAGCAGCATTGTGTGCTGAGTGAACAGTATATGAAAAGAAATATTTAAAGTACATGCACAGGACCAGAGCAATCTGCTTGAACAACTTAAAATACATTACAAAATAGATGCACTCCTTCCATTCACAAAACAGACACGTGCTTTAGGTTTTGTTATCTCAGTATTATTACAACTGTATTGTGGTTTAACCACAAAACCAGCACAAGCTTTAAAACAGAGCAATAATAAAGCACAACAAATATTTATCTGTGCCACAGGATACAGCTTTCTATTATGCACTGCTGGAGTTGGTTCAGTTGTTCTGCGCTGGAATTATTTGAGAAAGCCACATGAGAATTCAAATTCTCCGCAAATTAGACAGCAAGTTAAACTCTCTACCCATCTCTCAACAATGCTTCAATACTAAAAACAGTAGTATCTCATATACACTGCCTTCTGATTGTAAAGCACCCAAGGGAAAAACAGTCTTATTATGGGATATTTCCTTATGACAAACACCTCAGGTCTCAGACTTGTTCTGCTCCATGCCTCTACAGAAACTAGAGGACAAAGATGCAGGCTTCCAGGGCTGCTGAACATCCTGTGGAAAACAAAGATGCAGATACCAGATGCTTGGTATGTGGGTATTTCTGTTGTTCTAAATATGTTCTTGTTTTTTAAGTGAGAGTTGCAGATATCAAAACATTATCCACTGCAATATGAATTTGAATAAGAAATGGCAACCTCTAGAACAAAAAACATTTCAAGTTAATTCCTAGTGGAAAAGACAACTTTACCCAATACATCAGATTTTATTTCAGAGAAATACATGCATAGTCTATGTGCACACACACATGCTCTTAGCATATTGTTTTTGCCATAGCTGGAAAGAAATGATCTGCAGCTTTTTCAGCAGTTGCTCAGACTCAGACTTCCTGAGCTCAACTGATCACTCCATCTCAACAATGTACTACACATAGAAATCACCTACATTAACTACCTTTTGAAAAGATATTACTAAAATTTAACTGCAAAT